GAGAGAGAGAGAGAGAGAGAGAGAGTGAAAGAAAGAGAGAGAGAGCAAGACAGATAAAAAGATATATAAGAGAGAGAAAGAAAGATAAAGACAGGTACGGGGGAAGGGAAGGGGTGGAAGGATGCAGAGCTATGATTTCTTCTCCCTTACACCGGCACTGTAACTGTAACCATCATAGCTCTACCCTGAATGCGAGAACGCGTGTGTATGCATATTACATATTGTAATACGTTCAGTTACATTTTTGAGGTTGCAACCCGAATAAATTTTCCCCGGTCTGCCGATCAGCCCAGTCACGTTATGTTAAGTTTATAGGGCAAAATTCAACAGGCCAAAGATCTCTTCACACGGATCGAGTAGCTGTGAATGCAGCACTGGTTATAGCCTTTGTTTTGTTGGAAAGTTAGATTCTATTCTTTTTGTTTAAAAAATTATTTGCTAAGCGTTTTTAATGCATTTGATTTTGACCATCTGTCATGACGCTTAGTCACGGACTTACTCTCCTAGTCTGTCGAAGAAAGCAAAGAGAGGAGAGGAGATATATCGTGCCTTATTTTGTCATAAACCTCAGAACGACCAACCTCTAATATTCTATTTGTGGACATTTAAAATGAACTTCTACATCCCCGTGCAGATTTGACGGCGCCCGTGGTTGCAGGCAGCTGGGAATCTTGGGCTACAAAATATACCATTAAGAAGCGCTAGAAGGCCCTAATAGTAATAGTAATACATGGTAGACCTACCATGTACACCTGTTTTTCTTTCAATATTTTCTGCAGTATCAGAATAACGTCGTTCTTGTCCTGCACGGGATCTAAGTTAGGGCTTTTTATAAGTCAATGCTTGGATCTCTATATATATATATTATTTTTAGCCAGCGCACAGCTTTTGCCACTTCTAAAGAGGCTAAAATTCTCCTACCACCCCGCCCACCTACTACATGATGTACATATTGTATTTCCAAGCAGAGCATTAGGCAGGTTGTACCTCACTACTCAAGTGAGTCCCCACGGCCCACCGAAATGACCAAATTACCCACTAGTGGGCGACATTGCCCATGCTGGCAACTGCCAAGCACTAGATCAAAGTCAAAGTGAATGACGTCATTGCAACCTTGAGCCTCTGTTTACTTAGACTAAACCTCATAGGCTAGGATGTTCAAGTAATAGTTTTTCAAAGAACGTTTTTCTATGTTTTGAAGCTTGGTCTTGGGATTTCCGTTTTGTAGGTCACGTTGCCCTGCCTTGCTGTAAACCGTGATGTTATTCTTTTTAGAAAAATGATTGAAATAAATAATTTTAAAGGGCTCGGTAATGAATATCGTTTAAACAGCGTCCTATCCCGTTCAGAAAAATAAAAAGGAATAGCATCTGAGCGTTGTCAAGTGGACACGACTCAACGCCCCC